TATATGAATGAATGTGCAGTGGTGTAGTAGACAACAGCTTGGAATGAGGAATCAAAGAACCATGTTTGAATTCCTAGTTATGAGTAAATAGCAGGACAGGCTGTGCCCTATAGCCTTGGTTTGAAACCAGTCTAGGAGAAGTTCAATTCAAACCAGCCTGGAGATAGTTGGGCTCCATCAGGATATCATGCCTAAGACACACTACTGCTGCTATGGCTACAGTATACATGGTGTCCCTATGACACTAATAGGTTATGGAACTCATGATAATTATAATATATGTATATATATATATATATATATATATATATATATATATACAAATTATGTGCATATATATATAATATATATATATATATATAAAAATGTGAAAGTGTCAATATTATAACTAGAAAAGAATGTGTGCTATTTTTATCATGTAAGTTGCTGATATGATAAAACATGGCACTAATGGGTATGGTGTGTTCAAAAAAAAAAAAAAAAAAAAAAAAACTTGTCCAGATGCCTACCTACACTTTCAAAAAAAGCTGACAAAATTATGAGTGTATGGGTGGACATCTTAACCTTATACAATTTTTTTCACACAATATATCAGTTGGCATCAAGCTATTTTAGAATTATAAATATCTATGGTACTAATATCTATGGTGTTTTCTTCTGAGATGATAAATTAGCTGAGAAGACATTTTATCAATGAAATACTAATGATCAAGTAAAAAGGCCATTTTTTCAAGATTGGAGGTATAGGTGGTATCGTACACATATTAACACTTTCTTCTTGCTGTGGATGTACTTATTATGTACATATTTATGAAACTTAAATTGCATGTTTTCAGTATATATGTATGCATACATTTTCAAGACATACATATACATCTTTACAAAAGTTACATTGTTTCTTATCTATATACATACACACACACACAAATATATATATATATATATATATATATATATATATATATAGTGAATATTGCCGCCATATCTGGTCTGATGGTTTGGTTACTTGTCTCATATTGAGATCAACTCATGCAAGATAAAATACTTGCCTCAACATAAAACTATGTTGACCTCAAAAAAAAAAACTTCTAAGTGAGTTATTACTATATATATATATATATATATATATATATATATATATATATATATATATATATATATATCTTTACACCTACATATATTACTCACACATCTGTACATGCAGATATTTGTTTTCCAAAACCTTATTTCTCTAGACCTTTTACAAATTCTTTCTAACCTTTCTACAAACATCTTTTAAATTGTATTCAAATGTTATTTTATTATTTGTTTGGAGCATGAGAAGGATCATTTGGCCTTTCTTTCTCTCATTTTCTGCGCCCACCTTCTCTTTTCTAAGATTAGCAATAAAAGCCTTCATTTGACTGTCAAAACAATGCCAGCAACAATCAGCAGTAGCCTGTGCAACAATAATGAATATACCTATATGTAAAGATGACTGTAGATATTACGCCATTCATTATATTACTAAAATAAAAATGACAACGATTATAGAGCAAACTAATCACTACCTATCAGTGATTGCTTATCTCATCAATATAGAATGATACTATTTACAGAAATGGCAGAATGGTGACATTCATTATTATTAATATTATTAGGTTCATAAAGCAGACATGGAAATCTGAATGCAACAGTTTGATGCGAGGAAATGCACAAGCTTTTATTTTGATGAAATTATTTTAAAAGCATAAGAAGTAAATTTGCTGTGCCTTTCAATAATTTGATCAGTCTTAAGAAATTAAAAGTTTTTTTTTTAAATATTTTATGGGATAAACAGAGTGGCTTCAAAATATGTGATGTGTAAACATTTCCAAAGTTTTCAGCATTCATCATTTTCTTTTTATTTGTTTCATAAGAGCAATAATATACAGTTACACACACAGAAATGTACACATAACTGTATACAAATAAAACATATTTGCATACAATCACACATTTTTATGTAGAAAGATGCAGTTAGACATTATATTTGATATTATTACTTTATTTTTTTTCCCTAAAGAATTAGTCATGAGTTAAAATCTGAAAATGCTTTACACAGAATAGAAAAGAAAAAAACATGAAATAATAGGATTTTAGGAAAATACGAGTTATTAAAAAAAGAAAAAAAATGAACATGAGTCTGAAATGATGTAAATGTGATGGTACAAAAAACAGAGAGAGACATAAAACTTAAATAAAAATAAAACCTGATAATATATTATCTAGGCAAAGAAAAGAAAACAATCTATGCTGATGGTAGAAAGGCCTGAGCATTTATTTTTCAGTATAGGAATAAATATCTGATATCTAAAGGCACATGTATACATCCATTTCAAGGGATAAATCGTGTTTTTATGGATGAAAATTGCCTCCTACTAAATTCCTTACAACCACCCAAGGAATATATTCTGAACAATCATCAGATAGTCAGGGATAGATAATTTTTTTTTCTCCTCCCCCTCCAAACCATGGAATTGTTTTTGTTGTCCAATTTATCTTTAATAAATCCCATTGAATGCTAGTCTTTCCAGATGATAATCATCAAAGAGTTGGCAGAATTGTCATTAATTTTGTCAGGGAGAAAGAAGAAGAATGATGAATATTGAGGAGGAGGAGGAGGAGGAGGAGGTATGATGATGATGATAATGAAGATGATGATGATAACAACAACAGTAAGTATATTAAAAGATCCAAAACACACTAGGAAAAAAAAAAAGAAGAAAGAAAAAAAAAAAAACAATCACACACATTTATCCCACTTTTTTTTTTTTTTTTAGTTTTCACTTGTCTATGTCCATTTTCACAGATGGACTTTTCCATCTTCCAGCTCAATATAAGAGACAAGAGATAAAAAGAAAAAGAAAATTGGTGGGGCGAAGAGAAGAAGACAGAGAAAAAATGAAGGACTCAGGTGGGCTGGAAAATTTTGATGAGAAGTAAAAAGATAAACAGATAGATAAACAGATAGATAAAAAAAAAACCCTTAGTCTTTCTGTTGCCCTCCCTAAAAACAAAAAAGAAATAAAATGGCAGATAGAGATGAAACTCTTCTTTCTCAATAGTCAACAGACCAAGATGACTTTATCTGGGCATTTACTTTATTCAACAAACTTATCACTTTTATCTACAATGGATATTCAGAAATGGAGAGCTGAAATATATATACTTTACAGGCTCAAAGAGGGATCAGCCCAGTCATTTCCCTATGTAAAACTTGAAAAGAAACCCTATACCTCCATAGTTGTAATATTCAGTCTGATAAGACAACTTAATTCTGTAGATGAAAACAATCTTCAAGGGTCACTAGGTAAATATAGTCAAAATCAGCCAGATAGAATTTCTTCAGTATCTCCTTGTTCCTCTGGGCCTTAGAACAAAATTTAGTCAGACCTTGTGCAGAACAAAAATAATAAAAAACATAAATAAATGAAAATAAAATAAATACAAATAAAAAATTAAGATATCAGGAAAAATAAAAGATGCAAACATTAAAATAATAATGATATTGTGTCCATTGCTCTAATCGATTGCTTGTTATTATCAGTCTATATATTAAACATTATTATTCGTTTTTGTTTTGTATGTTTGATTGCATCTACTTCTGTGTTCATCTTCATTCATATTTTCCAATTGATGTTGACATTTGCTCTAGGCAAGTTTTGCTCTCAGCTTTGATAGAGAGTCAGTCATTTTTATAATTCACTAAAACCAGCCCGTATTTGTCAGATCATTTTCTCACTTATCTGAAACATATTTTACTTATTATTCCTCTTTTTTTCCTGCATTTATTTCAGAACTGCTTCGGTGACTGCAGGCCGAGTAAGTTGTCTTGTTCTTTAATTACTGCAAACAGATGAAAAATAAAATGTAGATGGTAGATAAAATTCCAATTACTGTTTAACAGAAGTAGACACATGATTTCACTAATGATCTTTTTTTTTCCTTTTGTTATTAGATGTCTGTTTGCCATAAATGGACACCTTGGAATTATAGCAAACAAAATTTTAATCTTTTTTCCTCATTCTTGTGCTATTTAAGCTTTTACTTAAAGATGGCAAAAATTAATGTATTATTCAATTTATCTTGTCTCGTTTGGAACATTTTCCATTCCTAATTAAATAATGACATGTAATTCTGGAATAAATGCTGTCCAAATTTTTTTTCATTTATTTACCGAGTTGATTTAAAATTTGCCTAATATGTTAAATTTGCTTATATATATATATATATATATATATATATATATGATCCAGTGTGATTTAGACCACTTGGCCAAAGAGAGTGTCATGTAAGGTTCACTTGGCCAAAGAGAGTGTCAGCAAGGTTCTATCTATCTTTTAAAGAAGGAGAAGAGGATATTTTGCTGGTTCTGGTAAAATAAACAAACATACTTTTAAGCTTATTTTACTGGTCTTGATAAAATAGACCCGAGTCCATTTTGCTGGTAAATATTTGTATTATTATGAAGGTAGTTAATGTTAGAAAAAACAACACAAAAATTAAACACAGAAGTTTATATATTTTCACTATCAACCGTTAAGCCAATTTTAAATCTTTTCCACCATCAATTGTTAAGACAAAACTTAAAATCATTTATTATCAATTATTAAAAGAAATATAGAAGTCTCTGAATACTTCAAGCACTTCAGGCATAACAGTTTCTGAAAATCCTAAACTTGCCCTTGGACATGAACACCGAAGACACAGACCACAGAATCCATATTGTTTAAGATATGTGTACACAGCTCATGCAACCACCATATTCTTACTTCTAAAAGACTATTTATATTTACTGGCAAAATAGCCTTGGTGTCTATTTTATTGGGACTGGTAAAATAGCCTATTTATTTAAAGAATGCACATCCCCTTGTTCAGATTTTCTCAAAAGCCCATATCTGATTGATTTCAGACCCAAAACATAAACACACACACACACGTGCCCATGCATTATCCATCACACCACCTTCACATTCAAGCTTACAGCACCTAGTATTCCTAAACAGTCACCCATCTAGATACTAACCAGGCTCAACATTGCTTAACTTTGGTGATCAGACAACAACTGGTGTTTCAATGTGATATGGCCGTAACCTTAAAAAGGTTAAAACTTATAATCTGCCATAACTTTGTTTAAATAGTAAATAGTACTAATCAAATTCTTTTCATTTAATCATTTTTTTTTTTCTAAATGATAAGAAAATTTGATTTGAAGAAATGTTCTCTGAAAACTAAGAGAAATATAGGAACCTAATTTTTTATAGACACGTAATAAATCTTGGTTTTTGTCTCTATTTCTGAGATGTACACTATTTACATTATTCGGACTATTGTCCTCGTCTTTGTTGCCATATTTATCACAACATCAAGGACACATGGCACAGTGGATAAAGGCGTTAGTTAGATCCAGTGACAGGACCCAAGGAGTGTGAGTTCAATACCTGGTTAAGATGGTGGAGAACTTGGAGAGGAAAATTAACAGGAGATAACTGATAACTGACATCCATTAGACATGGCACGTAGAACTAGAACAATCTACCCCAGCAAGCAAAATAAAGGGTTCAGTTCGACATTCCGACCACCTGAAGAAGACCAGAGTGTACAATGGCTGAAATGTTGTGATAAATATGGCAACAAAGATTAGGACTATAGTCTGAATAATGTAAATAGTGTAAATCTTGGTTTATTACACTGATCAAAAAATAAATGTTTGTACTATAACTTGTGATTGGAAATATTTATTATGATGCTGACTATATTATTATGGTTTTCTGGTTGGAAATATTTATTATGATGCTGACTACATTTTTGTGGTCTTCTGGTTGTGCTACAATTGCAAGATTTTCTAATGCAAATAACTGGTACCTGGCATCTAAGGCAGGAATGAAAAATTGTACTGTCAACTAATAAGAAACATTTTATGGCAAAATTTATTGAAAATATAACACATAGACAAAACATTGAAAGAACAATGAAAGTGTTCAATATCCAAATTAGGTGCTTGAATGCTGATTTTTTAAATGATTAACAATACTGAGAGGTGTTTTTTTCCACAAAAAGCATGAAAATACTGTATTTCTCACCATATTTTGTTTTTTGTACCAAAATCTATAGGGTCTGCTTGGACATTTTTTTCTCAAATTCTTTATTGCCTAAGTTGATTATTATAAAGTTGGCATTTGAAGTTAGATTTTGAAATTGACCTCTGGCAGTCAAAATGTTAAATTTTGGGAAACTGAAAGACTGCTCTCTTCCTTTATTTGTTAACTCCTATTTATTCAAGGAGCAAGAATAGGTAATCTTCAAATATATATATATATAATGTGTGTGTGTGTGTCTAAAGAAGTAATTAAATTTTTGTTTATTAATCTGACAGATTTCATATATTTTTGCTTAGTTATGTCAGCCTCCGAACATCATAAATGGAAGTTACTCAATTTATAATTCTATATAAACTCTATATACAATTTGATATAAACTATATAAATATATATTTATTTCAAAATAGGAAAATCATATTTTATATACATACATATATGCAGAATTACATATCTATTTTAGGACATATTCTATTTTTATGCATACTTGAAAATTGCTTTTTCAACTTTCTCCCATTCCTATATTGCTGAAAATAAAATTAAGCCTGTATTTTCAAGATCTGTTTGTTTATAACAATACAAAAAAAAAAAAAAAATCCATTGATAAAATTATTTATATCTGATATTGAAAATAGGCAGTTAGTATCCAGGCAAGATAGTGCTAAAATTAGAACTACTCCAAATACAATCATTTTATAATAAAAGCAATTATGACACAAACTTCAAATAGTCTTGGTAGTATTCCATCTTTCTTCCTCAGGTGTCATACACGATCATGTCTTTTTTTAATTTATCATTGAAGAATTCCTGCAGTACACTTCCGTTACATTCTACTAATATATAGACTGGTTGCCAACCAAAGCTATAGAACCTAGTCTGTTCTGCTATTTAACCCATAGCTGGGTGGAAGAGATGAATTCATACCTTTATTGAGAGTATTTGTGCATAAGTGAATGTAATGAACTTGGGTGGAATTCGAACTCGTTTCTCCAATTTCTCATTCTGAGTTGTTATTCATCACACCACCTGCATATCCAAGCTTACAGCAACTGGTATTCCCAAGTGGCGATCAGATTAGAACCAGTGTTTCAGTGTGATACAGCTACAGGATTACAGGATGTAAAAGATACATTTTTACCTATAGTTGGACAAGTACAACAGATAAATATAAAAAAATATATATTTCATTTGATATTTTGGATCTATTATTTGTATGTAAAAGAAAAAAGTCAGAGATTGAGGTAGAAAATTGGAGCATCTGTGTTTTGTCCTCATTATATATTCCTCTTTTCTTTTAATAGTTGCTAGTGACCTTATATCTACATTATCTTTACAATTCATAAAAGAAGAGACTACAATTATGCAATCTTTATTTATGACTCATCTTTTAAGAGCTAACCTTTGAAAAAGCCCTCATTCAAAAATGTGTCCAGTCACACATTGTTTAACAGAGCAAGTTAAATTTTCAAAGCTATGTTCAGTCTGCAGTCTCTAGTAAAATGACTGTACTGTACAAAAACACTGTTTTTGTTGTTGTTTCTTTCTTTTCTCTCTCTTTAGTTTCAATGACAATAAAATAACAATAAAAGATAGCCTACAGCAGATAAAATAAAAACAGGTAAACAATTGGATATGTTTTTAAGTAGGCAATATAAGTTGCATTTTTTTTCTGTGTGAATATTTAATAATATTTAGCAGTTTTCATCAAAGGATTGATTTCAGCAAATTTAAACATGCTGTAAAAAAAAATCCACATTTGGAATTTGCATTTCATGAGTATTTCATATGTATAAATCTTTTTTTGTAAATTTTTTTAATTAATGTTCATTCATTACAAGGCTCAAGGACCAATCAAAGTAGTCCTTTACTGAGTGAGGTGTGTATGGTATGGCTCTAAGAGGAATAAGCAGGAAGTGAAGATTATGAGGATAAGGAGGATACATAATAATTTTCCCTGGACTTGAAGAAGTTAAGATTGTAGTGTTTGGGAGTCTGCTTTATAAAATAGCAGTTCTTGGAAAGAAGCTGTCTGAGTGGAACTTCCATGCTACAAATGGAATCTGAAAAAAATGAGGGTGTATACTGAGCATGGCAGGTCTTAATGGTAAAAGTATGAATTAGTGAAACTAAGGAATGGTGCTTACTAGAACACTTGTCATAGAAATGATATCAGAGTAATGATAAGTTTGCAACATTACATCTGTAGGAAAGTGGCTGTAAAGTGGAAAATAAGTCACCCCACCCCACAAGGCTATGTAAATGATTTTGAACTCTGCCAAAGCTAGAAAGTGAGGGCTGGGCACTTCCAGCCAATATATGATAGCTTTACTCCATCTTTGTAAACATTTTTGCTGTAAAAAAACTCGCCTCAGAAATTTTCGCCGTATAGGATTTTTGCCGTAAGACGATTTTGCCACATCTTTTTTTTGATACCCTTATCTCGAACATCCCTTTTGGACTAATGTTCAATTTAATATGCAAAGTACCTTGTTATCAGGTATGTGTGGTTGTCTTTTTTACAAGATCAAACATCAGAAAAGAAATTAAAAAGTAAACATTTATTTAAAAAATAAAAGACTAAAAATATATCAAATTAACAAAGGCATAATTTAAAATGGGTGCAAATTCCAAGCAATGCTTCGTAAATAATGTGTTTTTTGGTGTTGGACTGTAATAAATCATTTTTCACTGAAGTACTGCATCTCTTTGATCTAAATCACACTTTTTTTTTCTAATGTCTTTCCCTTTTTCAAATATACAGTTAATTTCCACAAATTTGGGTGCATGTTTGTATAATTTCACTTATTAAAATGTTTAAATCAAACTAACAATAGTGAGAGCCAGATATACTTGATAACAAGTATAAGATAACACTTTTCATGTTAAAAAAAAAAATGTGGCAAAACAGTCTTACGGCAAAAATCCTATATGGCAAAGTTTTCTGTGGTGAAAATTCCTGAGGCATTTTTTCCTACAGCAAAAATGTTTTTGGTGAATGTTCTTAGAACCTCTAGCAATAAGACTCACCAGCCTAGTAGCTGAGATGGAACTTTTGGGCTTGGAGTTATTCTAAATATCAGACACAATTTGAGATGGAAATGATGAAGAAAATAAAAGAAATCATTAAAACTTAATTCTTGATAATAAAAATTGTGACAATTATACTGTAACATCTATAACACTACAGACATGAAATAATCAGTTTTATAAATGAAATGCTCTTTTTAATAACTTTCTTTTCCTTTAATAACTAAGATGACTGCATCTTTCTTCTTTCATACTTATAATCATCACTTCTCTTCCATTTATATGACACAACTCTAGTGGTGGACTTAAATTTTTGGGGCCCTGAAGCTTGAACAGATATGGGGGCCCCTTAACAATCAGTGACAATAGATTTGAGGGTCTAACTATCAAAATGTAGGGTATGACTAGGTTCTGATGAACACAACAAAGCCATACATGTGAGGTTTTGACTGCTGCAAGCCCACAAAAAAGTTTTGAAATTTGACCAATTACAGGGCAATTTTAAGGCCGTAATGGGTATTAGAGAATATTCTAAGGACAACATTAACTTCTTCAAATCATTGGCTTATGATTCCAATGTAAAGGAATAAACCATCATCCCCATGAGTGACTACACTATAGATAGCAACTATCTATAAGTATCCATAAGGCAATGGACTATGTGAGACTTGCGGTGATCTGTTGGGTATGACTCCAACTTACTCAAGGACTATTCGACCTTCCAAACAGCAGCACTCACTACTGGTTTTAAAATAACCTTTATTTAGTTATCCACCGTGTTGTTCCAGTGATATTTCTATTAGTACGAAATATAACAGATTCTATCACTAAAATGACCCTATGTTAAAAACAACAATTTTTTTTAAAAAAAAAACATTGATTTTGTTGAAAAATTCACTCATTTAAAAAATTTTCTTCATGAGCCACTCTGGGGTTATACACCTGAGGCTTAAGCTTCATGAGTTTT